GCAACTTACTTACTATGGGAAATTTTTTCCCCTCCTCTTTTTTTGCCTCTCTCTCTTTTTTTTTCTTTTTTTTCTTTTTTTTTTTTTTTTATAACAGCCTCTACTTATTCACCAGGGAGAGCAAGTGAGTGAGCGTGTGTGTGTGTGTGTGTGCTGGGGAGGGCAGTTGGCAGAAGGATAGACCCAGCCCTAACTGGAATGGACCTGCCTGTCCTTCTAACAAGGGCATAAACTTTCATTAGCGATGCACACAGTCAAAGGCAATTTAGGGAAACGCGCTGTACAGAAAAGGAAAACCTCAGCGTTTTTACTCGGTGGCTCCTTGGCTCCGTCCAGGGGGCTCTATCCTTGAGCTCTGCTTGTGCTCTCCAACCAAAGTGACCCCATGGCCACGGGGGAGGCGGGAGGGAGCCGGGGAGGGCTGGGGCTGCTCTGGGGCTGCACCCGGCCGTGCCAGCAGCCGCGCGCCCCGGGCTGCGCCAGGGAAGCCAGTCAATATTAATGTCTTGCTGGAACACACTGGTCCTGCAAGAGGCTCAGAGGTATCTGTTGCTCTGCCCGCTGCAGAGCTTCCCCCTGCAAGGGGCTAGTCCTCCCCAAAGGTCTCTATTTTGGGATTTTGCACACTGACAAGGAGCTCGCGGCCACTTGATGCCCCTTTGGGGCATTAGTTACGAGCCAGCTCTGCGCAGACCAGACAGATGTGTCGCTGCTGCTCCTGTTTCCACAGGATATACAGACTGGTTATTTTTGCAGCTGGGACATGTTTGGCCTCACACAGGAACCTGGAAAATACCATTCCTAAAGGGACGGCTCCTGCCACTGGCCCCACGAGCAGGCACAGCTCTGCAGAGGACGGACAACGAGCGCACGGCTGGAGGGAGAGCATGAGGGGCTTGGTGGGGTCTGAAAGTCTTGACCACGTGTTGGAAATTAAAACAAAACTATCTCTGCAGCTAGCATTCTCTTGGCCCTTTGGCTTTGAGGTTGAAGTTTATGCACCCTAAGCCAGCCATACGTTATTCATGCCCAAGCGTGGGAATCCCTGTGCATGTCCCTACGATTTGCTCCAACACAAAGCCCTGACAGCAGTTTCCGTACAAGAGCAGATTTCTTTACCTTCTTGTACGAAATACATCCAGAGATAATACACACCTATGCATTTAATCCTACCAACAGCAGCTCTGCACATTACTGGTACCTTTCACACATCCCTGCCCTCTCCCAGCCCCGTGCAGCCCCAGTGCAGGCTCAGCCCCTGCAGTGCTGGCTGGCACAGAGCTGGGCATGCACTTGCCCCATCTGCCATGTTTGTGCGTATTTGAACTAAGGCAGAGGGTAAAAAAAAAAAAATTAAATTCCAGGGGCAGCCAATGCTCAGCTGGAAAAACACAAAGTGCCGAGAACAGCAAACCCAATCAATAACAATCACAACCCCAGCAGTGGGTGAGGAAAGCATGAACTGTTTTGGCCTGCTCCCTGCATGCTCACCCACTTGGGAAAACACACACTCCCCAGAGGCCCATGATTTCATCCCCTCCCACTCCACCCTACACTCATCCTAACCAAAAAGCTTTATGGAGTGCAAGTCCCCCAGGCTCCTGTTCTAGCCAGAAACTTAGCAAAGAGGAGGGAGGGGCCCTGCACAGAGAAACTGGATCCCGGGAATGAGGTGGCACCTGAAGAAGGGTCTTTCTCCCAGCAAAGTGCTCCTTACACCCCACACCCTCCTAACCTCTCCTCCCCTCCAAAGTTTTGCCCTTTGTGCCCCCCTTCCCATCCCAGTTGCTGGCCTTGGCCTTAGGGAGCTCTTCTTCTCCCATCTTCTTTCCTCAAGTTCCCAGCACCATTGCACCTTTCTCCTTCCCAGCATCTCCTGCCAAAGCTCTTGTGCCCCAGTCTGCACCCCCATACCCTCTTTGCACCTCCCTACCCTCATTCCCTGTGGGCCCAACAGCCAGGTCTGGCAGAAAAAGCTGAGCTTCCCGAGGACCAGCCCTGCCAGGGACTGGTGACCAGCCTGGGGAGGGGGAACAGGGAATTCTGTCATGGAAAACACGGGAGCTCTCCCTTCTCCTGGTCTCACATCACTTCTCACTCAGACTGTGCAGATTTGGGGGATTTCACTGTAGCAGCAGAGGTCAGCAGGAGTTGAAGGTTTTCAGATCATATATATCACTCTATATGGTCTTGTCTATAGTGAGTGCTAAATATAGCCAAGCCAAACCTGGAGGTGACTTCAGTGCTGTGGTGCGGGGACAGCAGCCACTGCACAGTCACTCTCCACCTCAAAGCAATGCAGATGTCAGAAGTCACAGTCCAAAATCAAGGATGCCTGTGAATCCTCTCTTCTCCCGCTGCCAAGAGTGTGAGCCAGGCTCTCTCCCTCTCTCAGGTCTGCATGATTCCTCATTTTGAGGAGTCAAAATGAAACATCTTCTTGCTTCAAGGTCCATTTTTTTCATGGGATGTTGGACCCTCCTATGTATGACATGCCAGCATCTGTGTCAGCACAGCTACTTAGAAACTTAACCAGTGGAAGAAGCTCTGAATAGAAGGGGAAAGTCTCTTGTGTGGGTCAGAATAATTAGACTGAGCTCAAATTGGCTTTAGGCATCTGCTGCTGTGTCTGAGCAAAATCAAGCCATGCTGCTTCCATCAGCATCTCTCTGCTGTTGGCCTCATCCTGCAGAACTGAAGGGATCCCACACTGCCTTGTATAGGGCATCTCTGGGAACAAGACTTGCCTCAACTGAAGCCATAAAGCCTCCTTATCCAGATATCATTAAAGCCAAGAGAAAAGAGGCCAGACAGAGAGATTGAGATGAGCCATTTCCCCAACAAACTTGCTTCCCTTTTTCATTCGCTCCTTTCTTTTTTTTTCCCTTTAACTGTCATTAAAATAACAAGTTTCTGTTACAGTCTAAACATTCCCACATTGTATAAAGGGTTATGTTACACTAGAGTCACTGCCGGGCCCAGTGTTTGCACAGAAACCTCACTGCAGGTCCCCCCTCCTGACGAAGTGACTTATTAAAGTTTAAACAGTAATTAACAGAACAATAAAAATAAAGGGATGTTTGGGGAGTCGTAGTGCACACAGGGTTTTTGGCAGTGCCAGCACTTTTCAGTGCCCTGCGCTGGCAGAAAAAACGGCTGCAAAGCCAGTGGGAGAGATGGTGTGCTGCAAGGCAGGAACAGCCACAGCAAGGCCAGGGTACCATCCCAGCCCAGCAGAGGTGCAGAGAGCAGCAGGTGAAGGAAAGGCTTTGGGGCACTGGGGAAGGGATGCCCAAGGGCCACGTGGCAGCAGGCTGATCACATTCAGCACTCACCCCCAGCCCTGCCCTCCGACACATCAGGCAGCATCAAGAACCTCCTCTGCCTGCTCTCCCACTCAGTGATCTGTCCTGCACAAGCCCCCAGAAATCTGCCTTTGGGAATCATGTCTCAGGAGCCAGAGCTGGGTTTTGGGGAAGTGGCTCATTTATTTTAGAAGAGTAGTAGAGAGGAAAGAGCAACCAGAGAGCAAACCCCTGAGAAAAACCTTGCAATAGAGAGACTCTCTATGGGAGACTCTAAGACCAAACCCCTTGCCTGAGAACTTTAAAAACAGACAGATGATGTCTTGTAGGGACTGATCCTGCCCTGGTCCTTGCAGGTGTGAGCTGCAGATCCAACAGCATGGTGTAAGTTCTGTGTCCCTCCTGAAATGCAGCCAGAGCCAGGATCACAGGGGCAATCCCTAGAGCCTTGCCAGAGCCAGAACTTTCCCAACCCATGTGAAGTTGGCTAATCAGAGCTCCCTCTACAAGAGAAAACCTGCTTTTGCTCTGTTTTGTTCCCATTTCCAGTAGCTTGGCTTGCCCAGGATGAGCTCTAGAGCATGTGGGTAGAGTTTAAGCTTAGGTTGTCAGCTCTCCCTGTTACCCAATGTGCAGCAACTCAGAAAGATCTCATCTGAAGATATTTTTGGTGCCTATTGTAGCTATTCTCAAATGTTTGCCTCAGTAGCTCACAGTGCTAGCTGGCTCCAGCCCTGATGTGTGACTCAGTACACACAGCATTGTGCAGTCCCATGTTTGCTAAATCTCTTCCAGTACAACTGCTCAGTTTGCAAATAAAAAGACAGCTCCGTGAAGTTGTATCTTCTGTGCAGAGGGAACTCAGGGAGTGCTGCCTTGAGCCTCTCCCAAATCCAGGACTTGGCTCCTGGTCTGGCTGGGAAGCAGCGTGGGTCTGACCTGACCTGGGCAGTGCCCTACTGCCACGAGGACACACGTGGGGACATCCATCCCCAGCTGTTCCGTCAGCCCAGAGCCTCCCTTCCCTCTGCTGGGGGGCATGAGGAGGAAACCTCAGACCTGCTGGCTCTGTTTTTTTCTTCTTTTTGCTGCCCCAAGGCAGCTGGATGCACAGGAACAGCAGCCAGGACTCAGCACGGAGCAGGATGTTGTGTGGGGGTCTGCAGCTCACAGGAAAGGCAGGTACAGGTGTCTGTCCTCCTGACTTACTCCTGAGGCCTCTCTGCACATTCCCTCTCTCTGGACTGACGTTAGCTGAGCTGCCAGGCCCTTTCTGGGGTCTCTTCTCCCCACCCTCTGAGCATGGGCAGCTCCTCTCCAGACACTCAGCCCAGTGCCTCAGCTCTTCCCAACTCGCTGGGCTTGCTCCTTCTCTGACTGATCTTATGCTCATGTCACTCTGCTTGGCTCAGGAGAATCATTTCCCAGCTGACACCGCATCAGTGACAGAAGGGAACTTATGCTTTTCCACTGCCACTCACACTAAACTGAGAGAAAAAGAAACACCACCCAAATCTGAACTTTTCATCCCGTTCACCCAGCTGTGGGATGCTCCTCAGCTCCTGGCTGTGCTGGAGTCAGGGTCTCCAGACTCATGTGCAGTGAGAGTGGCAGTGCTCGAGAGGGGAGAGGTGTTGAACAAGTACAAGCAGGTGCAAATAGAACAACAGAAGGTGCCCCCAGGTCAGCACTCACGTGCATTTTCCTCGGCCATGTCTGAGGAGACTTGGAGTCAGAACAGAGCACAGCTTTGCATGGGGGTCTCAAACATGTTCACAATGCAGAAAGACTGTCCTGTGCACTTCCTTTTCCAACACGTCGTTCAGGATGTCTCTACAGCAATGCCAGTAACTGCCTGTAGGGAATGTTATGTTAGAAGATTATCTAATGCACTCTTAATCACCTGGTCTTGCAAGCTACAGTGGGAAATCAGAGCAGCCAGCATGGTATGACCCTTCCTCCAGACACCACTGAATTCAGATACCGTTATCAGTGGTAGCCTGGTCCATGTCCCAGAACTTAAGCTCTCTTTTGGTTAACAGGCCATGAAATTATTTAGACTATTCTTCATGTTACATTCTGTTATATTTGTAATTAACACAGAAGATCAGCAGTGCCACATTCTGTATTTTGCTGAATACAGAGGAGACAGTACTTAGAAGCACTTAGTCTTAACCTAACTCTGTCCTGTTAGGTTTAGGGGAAGCCAACTCTTCAGAGCAGACCTGTCCCACAAGGAAAGGGTTGGGTATTGTCAGAGACCTTAACCCACATATATCTGCAATATGATATGGGAACCAGCACCCTAAAATCTGGTCTTACCTCCTTTTTTTTTTTGGAAGGGACTTTTAAACAAAAGCAAACAGTCTGCCAGCACACTCAGTGTTCAGCGCCATCGTCAATCAGGGAAGCCTAATTATACCCATTATACTGATGAGGAAGCACTGGCACAAAGCTATGCATTCACATGGCTACAGACACAAAGCAAATCAGTGGCAAAGCTGGAATTAAACCCAAGAACCATGGGTGATGAGCTCATCACCCACCTCAGCACAGCCCCACGCAGCTGGTCATCACCAGTCCCACCCATGTCCTGCAGGTTACAGAGCTGGTGTGGAGCCCTCCACACACCTGCTCAACAACCAGAAGTTTCAATCCCCATGCTGACATGGTTTGGGGTGCTCTGGGACACCCAGGGACTGGTCACATCAGCTGGCCCACAAGGACCAGTCAACTCAGCTCCCTGTATGAGAGACAGACTGGTGGGCTGCAGACACCCAACAGCCAGAACATCAGGTCTGAGCTACTATGGGACCCTGTGGCCACAGGCACCAGGCAGGGATGAATCATCTGTTCCTTCTGAAGCAGCTTAATCAACTCCCCTGCATGTGGATCCTCACAGCAGGTCCAACCTGAGCCCTCTACATATTAATGACTCCCCGGGACATAAAGCCCAGAGATTTTCCTTGGCACCAGGGTCCAGCACTTGCCCTGCACTCTCCCTGCCAGGTGCTGGGTGCTCTGGTCTAAGAAAGGCTGCAGGATCCCTCGGGACTGAGAGTCATTACATAAACAATACAGTAGGATCACGGGCTGTAATTGTAAAAGTGCCAGAGGTCTTGGCACCGGAGTCTGCCTCAGCAAAGGCCTCTATATGGAGACCCAAACAAAACAAACAAAAACCCAAACTCTCTTGGTGCTTAATGAATAATAATAAATAGTAAATAATAACCCTAAGAGCCAACCTAGCAAGACAGATGTGAGGCACCAGGGTGGCTCTGAGGAAACACCAGTCCTGCAGCAGTCGCCCTCCTTCCCCAGTTTCAGTACGCTGAGCTCAGGTCACCAGGTTCTTGCAGGGTTAGGTCCAGCAGAGATTTCTGTCAGGAACGTGCACACCCTCACCCACCCAGTCAGACGGGTAGGAATTGCAGCCCTTGTACGTCCCTGGACTGGGATGTTCACCTGCTAAGTGAGCACACACCAACTCATGCCCAGCTCCTTCTTGTTGCAGATCTCTCTTTATGAGCTAAAGGCAAAAAAGAAGCAGATGGAGCTGAGCAAGGGAATCCAGGTAGGTGTGAGTCCGGAGAAGCCTCTCCCAGCATCATCATTACAGTCTGGGCTCAGAGTCCCCCACCTGTTCTGTGCAAGCTGAGCTCCCGGCAGGACACCAGGATAGCTGCTTGGCAGGGACAGGGGCTGAAACAAAGGGCCTAATTTAAGTATTTTTATAACTCAGTGCTTGTGACAGTGGGTTTAGCAGTTGCCAGCCATCTGGAATAAAGAATTACAGCCACCTCCCCTAATCCTATATTGCCTAAACCCTAAAGCTGGTTATGGTGCAAGGATGAGGCAGCAGGTTGGGAGGAGATAGTGATGGGAAGGTGGGGGTGGAGAAGGGACCTCAGGAAAATTGTCAAACTTATTTCTTTTTCCTGCAAGGTGCTGGGTGGCCCCAGATATGTCAGAAGTATTTTTGCTAAGAATCAAGAGAAGACAGAATGAACAAAAACAGGGGAGAGGGGAGACAAGGAGTCCTCCATGACCACACAGTCGCCTGCACCACACACACACACGCACACAGAGGCTTACTGGTCTGCGCAGGGCTGTCAGGTAAATTAGATCTGAAAGCTGACAATTTCTGACCATATTTCCTTGATTATTTCAAACAAATGCACACCAGCCGCTGTAAGGAGATTAAAGTGACATAAACGTCCCGAGTGGGAGGAGGGAGGGCAGAGAATTCAGGTCACCCCCATCCGTCCCCCATTTGACAGCCGCTATATCGCTATCCAATCCAATAAAAAAATCCCCCCCTTTTGCTTTAATTAATTTTACAGCTAGCTTGCTTAATTACTTTCAATCAAAATCCTCCTGCCATCGCAAAATTAGAGATGGTTGAGCTCCATTAGCCTAAATTCTTCATTTCCATATAGAAAGAGGCTCCCTGGGCAAAGCCAACAGGGCTCCCTCCTGTTCTGGCTGCCACCGGACAGACGCCTGTCCCTCTGTCTGTCTCCAGCTCCTTGGGAGAAGGAAGGCAGGAAGGATGGAGTCTTGTTCCCACCTTTCCCTCACACAGAGCATCTCCTTGAGAGCCCTGGACACAGGAGGCCTCTCTGCTCACAGCAAAGACCACACGAGGTGAGGACAGCCTGCCCTCCTGGCCCTTCTCTGGCCGTGCTGGAACGAGCTTTTCCACGGCTGCACGAGGGAGCTGGATGGCCCAGCCCTTCTGCTGTGCTCCCAGCACTGGGGACAGGATCTGGAAGGGATCCTGCAGTTGGTTTGAGCACTGCCAGTGTCACCTCACAATGTGTGCAGGCATCAGTGACTCTGTGGACACATGGAAAGCAGCTTGAGGGGACACAGGGGCAGATCATCTTACATTTACCTGCTGTGGGTTTGGTACCTTCCTTCAGGGTATCTTTATCTGTGTGGGCAACAGACCTGTGACATTCCTGCAGCTGCCACAGGCATTAGCAGCACCTCTCTCCTGAGAACAAATCCTGAACTGTCCCATTCTGGGGACAATGGAACCTCCTCTGAAGCACAGGGCGTGGCAGCAATAAGCCACATGGCACTGTAGAGGAGACAAGTGGAGAGGATGGATGCAGGAGGAAACCCTGGAGGGAGCTGGACACTGGGAGCAGAGCAGAACCAGCTTCCACTCACAAGGAACTGGAATTATCCAGACCATTCCATGCTTTCCTCCCACTTTCTCCCATCTCCTATGGTCCTCTCCCTTTTCACATACCCAAACTAATTGCAGAGCAATGGCTCTACTGGAATTTTACCTACACCCAGTACTTTGTGCACGTACTGAGCCCTGGGGACCAGCAGTGGAGCCCAGCCCCTGCCCAGGACACATGTACACCTACTCTGGAGCTGCAGGACCCCAGTCTCTGCACTTTCCCACCCTTTCTAAAGCTCATGGGGATTCACAGGCACCAGAAGCTCAACTGCCCCCAGCTCCAGGGAGGACAGGTCAAACCCTTCTTCTTTAAAAGAAAATGAAGAAGAGACAAACACAGACCTATTTTGTTTATAAGCTTAAAACTGAATCCAATGGCGCATCTACCTGGGGATTTTAGATTAAATGGTTTAAGAAACTCAAATAGGCTTTTTAATCCGGTCAAATAAAAAGAGCCCCAAAGAAGCAAAGAATTCACCCTGCTGAGCCTCACACCTATGCAGACAGCCAGGCTTGAACGGCTTTCTTGCTCTCTGCCACTCCTCCCCATCCTGGCATGGGACAGAATGTATTTGCCAAAATCTGGAAGCTTAGGGTACACCCTGTTCAGCACTTGTGAAGACATCACTTTCCCATGGACAATCCACTTCTGTCACACTGTGTAACACCTTTCTTCAGCCTTTCTGTGTCCTTCCATGCTTGTGCTGTTCAGCTGAGCCCTTCCCCTAACACCTGGCAATGCGAGTGCAGTGCCAGCCCTGGTTACATCACCAGTGCCAGCAATAAGCAATCCAAGAGATGACACCAGAACCCCTAATCCCCACTGAACACACATATACAGGCACTGTTTTTCATATGAACTACATTCCTGAATGCCTCACAAGAGAAGACAAGGAGCCATGTGCCCTTGAGATGCAGGGGGCCAGCAGGGTCTGCCAAGGGACACAGCAGCTGGACAGGCAGCCCAGGTCTGACGGACGGACCGACCCTACACAGACCTGGGGAGTGTGGTGAACATCTGGAGCTGAATCCTGACAGAAACCAGGATGCAAGGGGGCTCTATTCTCTGCTGGATAACCACCTCTCCAGGACTTCCAGCCTCCAGTATCACATCTCACCAACTTTCCAACAGAAACAGTCCCTCTCCCCCACTGCTGCTTCACTCCGGAAGCGCTCAGAACCAGCCTTCCCCTGACCATGCTCTGCAATAAAATTCCCGACTTGTGTCTCGCCTGCTCCAATGCTCAGAGCAGCCAGGACAATAGAACAGAGAGGCCCTAAATCCACCAGACTCACCCTAAATAGCAATGGCCCATAATTTTGCCTGACATTCAGGAGCTTGTTATTCTTTCCCCTCGTCGCCTGGCTGGAGCTGTTCAGACCCATCAGTGTTATTCTATGCATTAAATGGGAAAAAAACCAACTCAACAACAACCCGGAGAGTTTCCAAGCCTGCCCAATGAGGGCTGAAGGGGCAGTGGGAGAGCAGGAGCAGCCAGTGCCTCAAACCCAGACCCATCCACTCTGCAGGGGAACAGCATCAGTGGGTCCTGCAGAGACCCCCAGCAGAAACAAACACCCTTTTCTCTGCTTCCATCCCTACCATGGAAACTGTAATCTCTCCCAGCCCTTCCCGTCTCCCACCTGGTGCCTGGGAG